CACGCACGCACGCACGCACGCACGCACGCACGCACGCACGCACGCACACGCGCACACACACACACACACACACACACACACACACACACACACACACACCAGCTAGAATGAGAAGCTGTGGCCCCTGAGGGTCGGTGTGTCTGTGTGTGTCTGTAGTGTTTAGCTGCTGTAGAGACAGGAGGTCTTCAGGACAGCAGACATTAAAAGAAACATGTTTAAAGGATGTGGAAGCCTTCCAGACGCAGACCGTTGTGGGTTTTGTGCAATAAAGGGAATAAATACAGAGTTTTAACATTGTTTTAACTATAAAGAGCAACAATAGCGACGGTTCCTGATGTTAAGACTCAAAAGGTCTTCACATGTCAGGAAATATGTATCAGCTAAATTAAATAGTTTACAGGATGTTAAACCTGTTTCTTTATAATGCATTTAATACTTCTTTATTACATAATAAGGTAATGAAGTAGTTTATGAACATGGGATATGAGTTGACAGATTATAATCCTTCCTCTCTACAACGGATCAGATCAGCACAACAAACAGGAGCAACTATTAGATCATAAACGTGTGTAATCTTGACATCTGCTGGAGACGTGTGTGTGTGTGTGTTCATACCAACACTGGCGATATAGAGCTTGTTGTTGAGGATCAGAGCCACTACGGCCGTCGCTCCTCCAGACACCTCCTGCTCCAGCTCCTTCAGATGCTCCTGCACCTTCTGATTGTGGTGGAATGACAGGGGGGGGTAACAGAGGAGAGAATCAGCACGAGGGTGCGGATCAGGAAATAAAAGAGGAATGAGCAAGAGGCTTAAGACGAGGAGGAGTGGAGGAGGAGGAAGAAAAGGAGGCGAGATGAGTAAGAACACCGGAGATGAAAGAACAGAGAAGAAGCGTGAGAACAGAGAAAAGGGAGATTATGACGAGATGTTTTTCGGTGTGTGTGAACCTCGTGTGTGTGTGTGTCTGGACCTCGTTGTGTGTGTGTGTGTGTGTGTGGACCTCGTCGTGTGGTTGGAGGTAGTTGGACAGGTTAGCTTTCTCAGCCAGAGCGCCATCTATCGTCTCAAAGTAGCTCTTCTCCACCACATCGAAGGCCTGCGACAACGACAACAACACACACACACACACACACACACACACACACACATCAAACACACGCTCCAAAGATCGTAGACATTCATGTGAATCAAAGTTTGAAAGAAGTGACTATAAAAAGTGTGAGACAATCAGTTCTCCTCACGCTGAACGATGAAAATCCTCACTCTTCCCAGAATATAAACTCATCATACTACGTAATACTTAGTACTACACGTGAAGCGTGTAACACACACACACACTCACACACACACCGACCTGAGTGAGGATCCTGCGGACGTCGCTGTCCGTGTGACTGGAGTTGAGCTGTCCGAGCAGCAGCTCTGCCGTCAGACACTGGGAGGCGAAGCTGGCCACTCTGCTGCCGTCGTAACCGTTAAAAACCCCGTACAGGAAGCAGCCGTCCTCGCCTCTGAGTGGTAGAGAGAGAGGAAAAAACAACTCTAAATGGACCATAATGTACTAAATGAACATCATGCTGTATTGAAGAAGACTTGAAACTAGAGATTGAGACCATAAACTCATGTTTACAATGTTTACTGAGGTAATAAATCAAGAGAGAAGTAGAGTCATTTTCTCATAGACTTCTATACAACCAGAGGAGTCGCCCCCTGGTGGACACTAGAGAGAATGCAGCGTGAGTGTCTCACCTGAACCTCAGGTGTCCGTCCTCGTTGGGGTGGCTCACCGTTCCTTTACCATCGGGGCCGTATACACAGTTGGTTGCGGTGCCGACACCGCACATCTCACACAGCGGGAGGTCGTCTGTCCAGCTCTGATGCTGCCGAAGGACAAAAATATACAAATAAAATGTTATCCATCTATACATATACACATCTATAGATCTATGGAAATATGTATTGTTTTCTCCATAACTCTATATAATAATAATATATATATATTATAATTATATAAAGTATATGCTAATATTCCGAGCAATGTAAAGCCAGCACCAGTCACACTTTTGTCACCTCCTTCTGCTGTCGTTAACAGAAACTGCCCCTGGTGTTTACGACACTAATAAATCGCTTTACGTTGAGGTTGAAGTTGGTGGCTAACGTTAGCTAGCCGATGCTAATACTGTCGGCTAAACTAAACTAGCATAAAACTAAACTAGCTAGCATTAGCATCACTGAACCAAACGAAATAACAGTAAAAGGGAACACAACAAACAGAGACTACCACTGGAGGAGATGAAGGACATCTAATACAATATTTAAAGCAGCACAAGAGTGACATTACATGTTAGTGAGACCGACAAATAGCGGAGCTTATAACGTAACTTACGCTTTGCATCAAATTCCTGCGCTGGGCCGCCATGTTGGACGGTGCTTGTTGCGTTCACGGCTTCATTGTGAAGGTCGAAATTACAAGCTTCGTTGTTATAAAAACACACCCTGCAAGTGGAAAATGATTTATAATACGATTAAATGATTAAATTACATTTTTCGTGGTTGCTATGATAGTGCATTGTTATTAATATAAAATACCAGGAAACCTAATACGCAAACTGGCATTTAGCAATTTTAGATCAGGTATTTCTTCTAAATCCTAAATTTACGACATCACTTGAAGGCAGCATACGTATACATCCGTCAAACTCTTGAATTTTGTATTTATTTTTTATTGCGATGTGTTCGTTGTACAGTTGCTATTTAAAACGTTTCCAGTACAATGCTCTTCAATTGATGCAATAGTTAATAAAAATGAGGAAACAAACACTTCCGGTTTGTTGCTACATTGGTTTTTATTAGACAATAACGCCGCCTTATGGTTTCGTTATGAACTACAACAATAATCTACATTTAGAGCATAATTTTATAGATAATTTAGTCTTCGTGACATTTGAAAATGTATGCATGGCTACAAGTATACTTGTAAGTTTTACTTTGTTCGCTTTGTCTATATATTCTGGTAGATTAATGATACATGTATCTGTTAATATGATATAAATGACTTTATTTCTGAGAACAAGTGCATAATTAGATGGTAGCCTACACTTTGTTAATTAAATACGTTTTTTTCAAGCTTACTACAAGCCTAGTTCTCAGGAAACTGATCTGAAGTCAGCCAGTAACCGTCTTGCTCAACAGGGTGGGTTAAAGACATTAATGTGATTTTATCATTCGCCAAATGAAAAGTTCTCGTCGTAAAACCTGCACTTAAATGTGATTATACTGCAGCTGCTCTGTGTCACAGCTGAACTGAGAATGAGTTTATAGCGACAGCACATCTGTTACTTTATTAGTAAAAACATTTCATAAGCGTTCCCTGTACAAACATCTGATAAAGTGTGAGGCCGTGTGGTGAATGTAGATGTGTGAGTAGTATCTATAACACTGCAGCTTATTAAAAATAAACAACAGAGGACAAAGAATAAAAAAGTCCTTCATACCATGATCTGTATTTTCTTTATTTTTATTGGTTAAAATCAAACACACATTTGTTCACAATCTGTTTCATAAATCTAACCTCACAACGGGTTTCACAAAGGAACGTCACACATTGACACGTCTACGTGGTTGTACAGTATAAAGTATACATATGTGCATATATACTTTCATAATTTGGTCACATTTTTTGTTGCTGTTTTTTTTTTTTTTTTAATAGTTAGTATTATTATCCCAAAATAAAATAAAAACATCTCCTTCCCCAGAAAGCAACAAGAGGGATGAAGCATCGCTGACCTCGGCACATATCGTATCACAATAACACGGGAACACAGATCTTCTTTCTCTTGTCTTTTTCTTTTTTTTCATACAGAATTAGCATAATGCCCTAAAATAAAGCATAATCTTTTCTTTTTTTAAACAATCTAATATACTGAATTATAGATTTACATATATTTATAGAGATAGGTGTACTTTATTCTTTAAGAAAATGGAGCAATGCGTGTTCATGAATACTCAGGATGTTCACTGTCGCCTCGTCTGTAGACGTGTTGGAATGAAGAGTGAACCGATAATTAACAGTCAGTGCTGATACAAATCAGTTTAGGACGCTCTACAATGAACACAAACGCCTGTTTTATTTAATGTACTTAAAGAGTAACTAAACATCAAACCGCTCTTTCTACAGCGGAACACCACGTGTATGTATTTAATGTGTTCTTGATGGATTCAGATGAATGTAAAATATTTGAATTCCACATATTGTCTTATAAATATGAATAGCGACCGTCCTCCACAGGTTGATGTTCGGCTACTGCAAGTGAACTGTGGAGAGAGGAGGATGAAGGAGGAGGAGCTAAGAACTCTCCGGGGTTTAGTCACTCTTTAAGGACACAAACACGGTTTAATGAGCTTTAACGGTGCTCTACGGATGCAGACTGACAACTCGTGACGCTGTGCATGTCGGGTGTGTTGCCGTGGTTCGTAGGGTTTAGCTTGGCAGTCGGCACTTAGGCAACAATCGAGGAGAGAGAAAGCAGGTTCTTCAGGGAAAACGGGAAAACACGCACACACACACGCACACACGCACGCACGCGCACACACACTGTCCCACATCCTCACACATCAGAAAATAAACACAAACACACTCCTGTGTTACAGTCGAGGGGATTAGTTGCCAGATATGCCACTGTTGCTTGATCCTAGTGATGCACCTTTTAGTCGAACAAACTGTTTGTTTGTTAAAACCCCATATGTGTGTGTGTGTGTGTGTGCGTGTGTGTGTTTAAACTAACAGCTGACAGCAGACGATGAAGGCAACGTGGTCACAAGCATTGATCTGCTACACTGTGACCGTTTCTGATAACCCTTGACCTCCACCAATCCCAAAATCTGGAAAGTTGTCCACAATTACTGATCAAGAGATGCATTCAGTTCTTATGGAGATCCTAAGAGGAGACACGACAGGTGAACAGCATTAAATATCAATTTCCTCCATGTTTTAATAATAACATGTCGTATAAACGAGTGTGTGAGTGATGAGTGAACCTTCAGCACACAGAGAGGAATGAACGAGTGAAGTTTGGTGAATGTAAGAGCTGCTGAAGTGGAGTTTTATCATCAGAGTCTGAGAACAAACTCATTTAGAGGAAACGTCCTTTAAAGAGACGTTTAGTTCCATTACAGACATTTAGAGACTCTACAGGTGAACACATGAACTCATAGATATCACCATGAAACTTCACCACTTCATCACTCACATTAAGAGGAGTATTTATTGTGTTACAAGTTTATGAAATGTTATGTTTAAATATGTAAATGAGGCATTATGTAATGTACCTCTTGGGGTATTCAGGAGAAATCTACAGACGTAAACAGACAAACGTAGTAAAATAAATGTTTTCTCTCCTCTAGTCTGAAAGAAGACGAGTTATGGAAGAATAATAGAACAAAATCTCTAAATCGAGCTGTCGTGTCTCCTCTTAACTGTCCAAACTGACCCGCTGTGGGTCAACACAGCACCGATCAGGACTCTGTACTGAAGGACAGAAAACCTCCACAGTGTGTTGTTCTGACTCGTCCTCAGAGTTATGATTCATATCACTGAGTGATGGTTTCAAACTGTGATAATACAGTTTAGAATGTGCACAAAACTTTGTGTAAAACCACCAATGTGATCTGATCACTGCTATGTTAACCCAAACCGTGGAGTAGAAACAAACCCAGCTCTCAGTTAGGAACTATAGGCAACCCCCCCACTACAGTATATTTCACCCCGACATCTCAGTAGTCCTGACGCTGGTAGCCGCCGGTGCCATCAAAGGCCTCGTCGCTGTTGGCCTGGCCTCCTCCTCCTCCTCCTCCTCCTCCTCCTGCTCCTGCTCCGGGGCTCTCCAGGTCGTCCCCACCGAAGGAGGTGTAAGGGGCTCCGGCGGCATCCTGGCTGGGGTCCGTGTATTCCTGGGAGAAGAGGGCCGAGTCGGCCCCCAGCTTGTACCTCTGGAAGCCCAGGAAGGACTGGCCCGCCTTGGGGGGGGGGGGGGGGGGTGATGATGAAGGGGAATCGCAGACAGACGGGGCAAAGAGGACAAAAAAGGTGCAAAGAAATGGATGCATGATGCGGAGATGGAGGAGGTGTTAGAGCAGAGAAAGAACAAGAGAGAGAAAGGAAGTATTGATTAGTCGGGCTTGGGAAGCTCGTGAAGCTTATTAGTTTGAGCGAGTTAGTTCTTCAGGCAGCATCCATTATTCAGCGTGTAATGAGAAACATCACCTCAGCGACACTCTGGAATAAAGACCAAGCGGTTAAACCAAGTCTGTGTGCATCATCAAACAGCCGTAAAACCCCACAGGCCTCATGCTGGTCGATAATTACAGGTTTTTAAAGACAACTGGAGGAAAGCCGAAGACGCCGTGAGTTCCCAGAGCAAACACGCTCTCAGGGAGAAAGAGAAACCAGCGAGCTGCTCTCAGCTCCGAGGCTTCGTGAAGGGTTTACCACGCATTTATGACCTAATTACATCAATCAAACCTTTCAAATCCTACATGCATGTGCAATGAAAACTGTTGATACTTCAATTAAATGGTCTGAAAATAACGTCCGTTTAAGTCAATCTCAGAAAACAAGAAATCTTCCTGCTGAACTTATAAATAGTCAAAGAGGAGAAAGACGTGTTGAGAGAGTTAAAGGAGAAAACAGGGAATGAAAGGGCGTGTGGAGCACTCAGGGATCTATTGGCAGAAGTGAAATATAGTTTCATTAAGTATTTTCTCTTTTGTGTTTAATCCTGAAACTAAGAATCGTTTTTTTTAGATTGTGTTCACGCAGCACGATTACAAACTGAGTCAATGCACGGACGCGAATACTCCAGTTTAAATATTTCAACAGGCTGTCCTGAGCCGGAGACGAAGACAAAGAGACAGAGAGAGGACGTCTCACTCCGGAGCTTCTAAAAGAACCGATAGCAGAACCGCTAACTCTGGACCGCATCGATACTCCGGTCTCTTTTAGAAGCGGTTCCTGTTTAGAACCGAGATTATCTACGATATAACCTCGTGTTTGTACAGAGACCAGAGGAAACATACGTGTAGAAACAGTAAAACAGCTACAACGAGTCCTTCAGATCCACATGTGGAGCAGGTCCATGTTTCTACTGCGTTCTACTCTCGTCACACGGGAGAGGTGTCAGTCGGTTGCAATCTGCAACCTCGCCGTTAGATGGCGCCAAATCCCACACACTGTCCCTTTAAAAGGAATCGTGACAGTTTTTGTGAAATACACTTCTTCACTTCCTGGCAAAGAGTTAGATGAGAAGATTGACTCCCCTTTAATGTCTGTCGTTCGTTCAATATGAAGCTGGAGCCATTAGCTGGTAAGCTTAGCTTAGCTTAGCATGAACACTGAAACCAAAGAACACCAGAAAATAAGTGTATTTCACAAAATGTGGAACTAAAGCTTTGAATGTACCAAAATATAGAGTAAATATATCACTCTGTAAACCTGCATGTTAGTGATGAGTGGCAGCCTGAATACAAAGTAAAAAACATTCACTTCACAAGTTTATATTGTTTATTTTATCTCAATTTAAAAAAAGGAAATCTCCATGAATATGTCAAGTTTCTGGTTTCTGGTTATAATAATAATCCCAGTGAGCAGCTTTCATTCTGAGAACAGATTACAGGGACGTAAGAAGGCGTTTAAAGCCGGATATGTGTAATTGTTGAGTCGTGCGTATTGATGAACAATTGAATTAACCCGCCTGCACATACGTCATCATTATAATGTGTTTGGGTCAGGAGAATAAGAGATTTAAGTGTGTTAATGCTGCAGCAAAGAGGGAGGAGTCAGGCGAGAGGTTGATGGGGCTGCGGGGGGAACAGCTTGGTGTACTCCTCTTCAAACGACACGTTCTTTAACTTCTCCATCGAGACGAGCGTCTGAGCGCCCTGTTGGAACGGCACCGCGTGAGACGGAGGAACACAGACGCTGGAGGCGGACACGTTTGAGGAGTGCAGGTTTCTTACCCAGGTGAAGATGGAGAAGAAGGAGAAGGTGATGGCTGCCCGGGCAGCGTCTCCTCCCTCCCTCAGCGGGTTGTCCTCCAGCTTGCTCACCTGCCACTGGTTCGCCAAGAAACAGAAACCCACGAACCACATGAAGGACCAGAACGCTGGGAAGAGAGACGGAGGTAAAGAGAGAGGGTTAAAGTACTGGTGATGGAAGCGTAACGAGACGCCACCCGAGACATTTTGTCTCAACAGTCTTTTTGGATTTAAAGTGATCGAACAAAAGGAAGGATGAAAGATCCACTGGATTCAAGAGGACCTGGACCTGGTGAAGGACTACGTTGACTCTGTGGGAAATATGCTGCTTTCTTGAGAGTTAAGAAAGCACACCGTGTCTTTATACTCCTGTTCGTGCTGTACAGTCAACATTTCTTCTTGCTTTAAGAAGCTTTACTCTTCTGTGGGAAGATCATTTAGAGGAGATGGTACCTCTCTGAGGTAAAACAGTGTTAAACATACAAAGGAGAAATGTCTCCACCATGGATAGAGCTTTACCTGACAACCCGACATCGGCCAGCACGGCCTTCTTGCGGTCTTTGACGCTGCTGATTTGGGGGAAGTAGACGTCCAGAGCCAGGAAGGCCATGCAGCAGAGGAAGGCCATGGAGCCCATGAAGACGCCGTAATTACAGGCGTTCTGGTTGCGGTTGAAGATGCAGAACTCCTCCACTTCGTTGGGGCGGTTGATGTAGCCCTCGTTGGCGATGCAGCCGAAGATCACGATGGAGAAGAGCTGCAGAGGAAGTCAGAGAGGACATTAAAGCAGCTTGTTGTCGCTCATGGCAGTGTCACAACCTTTGGATGGAAGCAGAGAGATCTGTCTTCATTCTTACTGTTCGGGAAACTCACACTGGCGGCATAAATTGAGCGTCGAAAGACTCACGCCGACCGCTTTTAGGGAGTCTGGTGCTCAGAAACACTTCCGCTTTAGTCCACAGGGAGCGCCAGAATCAAGACTAAACAAAAGTTAATTGGACTGCCCGGTGATGTATGAATAAGGAAAGACTTCAGCTTGGCGCTCTCAGGCCTTAATGTCACCACAGCCCTGCAGGAGAGATTTATGAATAATAATATATTATAATAATAATCCCTGATGTCTTTTTCAATGTGCCTCTGGGTTTCTCTTAAAAAATGGCGGAATAAATCTCTTCTGTAATTCAGAGTGACAGCGCACAGTGATATGAATAATAATACAAATGTAATACTTATGTCATGTGAGCAAATATAGAATGAATACAGTTTTGTGCATTTAGTTTTCTTTATTTGCGATTTTTCTTGCACTTAAATTACAATTGATCACATGCTCTTATATTATTGTCTTGAACTCATGGTTGTGCATAACATGTTCTGTGTTGGTGGCGGATGAATACACGGTCCTCATGTGACTCACATGTGAAATCCTTTTTAAGTGTTTCATTTTTTAAATGCATGGCGGAGCGTTGAAACGTAATGCAGATTTTCTTAATTGCAACAACGTGCTGGAGAGTTGTTGTTTTTATCCAGACGGCGACAAAATGGAGTCAATCATCCTGTCGGAGGAGGTTACTGTGACATCCTCCTCCAACGCTCCTCTGCACTCATTCTGCAGCGGACACACAAACTAGTGGCGACAAAATGGAGTCAATAACCACCGTCTAATCCCTCTCTCCTCTCAGACCAGGACGTCACAGGAAACAGCAATGTGAGAACACTACAGACCACTACCGACCATTACAGACCACTACAGACCACTACAGAGGAGGATCAGACAACTCCATCAAAACCTCCAGGGAGCTGGTTCTGTCTGCACGAGGCTGCCAGGCGTGTTCATGTTTGTCTGAGTGCTGAGTGATGGATTCTGAATGTGTGTGTGTGTGTGTGTGTGTGTGTGTGAGTGTGTGTGTGTGTGTGTAACAGAAGGTACTTTACCCAGCTATCTGTGTCTGTGTTTACACAATGGACAGCTGGGACACATGCAGGCTGCAGAGGGAGCAGGGCTGTCAGTCAGGATAATAATAATAATATAATAATAAAAATATTTTATATATAGGCAATAGAGAAGACCGTGTCGTCCCCCCCCCCAGGTTCGGTGCTTGGACAGAGTTGGGTGGTTGGTGCAGGAGGTCAGAAAGGTAGAATTTGGCTTTTCTGCAACCAGTGAACAGGAAGTAGAGACTCTGTATACGTCTCTGGTAGAGACATGTCAATCACTGTGTAGCCCCGCCCTAAAGCATCCCCTGCTTTATGGTCTGTGTGACTCTAAATGGACCATAATGTACTAAATGAACATCATGCTGTATTGAAGAAGACTTGAAACTAGAGATTGAGACCATAAACTCATGTTTACAATGTTTACTGAGGTAATAAATCAAGAGAGAAGTAGAGTCATTTTCTCATAGACTTCTATACAACCAGAGGAGTCGCCCCCTGGTGGACACTAGAGAGAATGCAGCTTTAACACATGAAGAAATTACTTCACCTTAAAGAACCAGATGTTGCCGCCTAGTTTTTACAGCTTCTGATTGTGATGAATGGTGTTTTTTGGAGGTTCAACAAAAAACAAAAACACAAGTGACTCAGCATAAAGAAATAAAAGCATCACTGCTTCTCTTTAGCTTTCTACAGCAAGCAGAGAGGAAACACGAGCTGGCGTCTTGAGCCTGTGTCTCGTCTTAGTGAGCATGCACAACCTTTCTCCTATCTTTCTCCTATTTTTAGCCTCGGCTGCATCACTCGCTCCCTCCACCCTCGTCTCCTCCCGTCTCCGCTCATTACCGGGCCCTGCCTCTGCCCACGAGCATTCTTCAGAGAGAAAACACACTCAACCAAACCCGGCATCAAACGCGCGCACGCACGCATTTGTCCTCCGCCTCACGTGCTTTAAGATTCAGGTCAGAAAACACAAAGTCACACAATCACATGACGTCAGCTCAGAATGAAGCGCGTCATGAACCTTTATTAATGCTACAGATCATATGAGACGCTCATTTTATTATTCATGTCTTTTTCCTGCAGATTACAGATTATTTTTCAGGATACAAGAATATAAACATACGCACACTAAATGTAAGATACAAAATCTATCTATATCTATATGTATATATAGATATAATCAGGTTATGAGGGCGTTACTATCAACCATATTAATAGATACAGATCCCTCTGATGTTTGATTATAGCGGCTGGTTCATCACCAAAACTACATTTTACAGATGACATGTGAACACATCATGATAACGTTATTATTTACCTTCAGCCAGTACTCATGTTCACTGAGCAGAGCCTGAAGGCATCATCATGTAACTGAAGTGAACCTCGTTAGCGGTGCTGCTAACGTTATTAGCTCTACAGCGCTTTAGTTTTCTTCCATTTAGCAGTGAGACAGGATGACTTGTTATGAAGGCCGAGGAGGCTCACGGCAGACATTAGAAGATGCTAATGCTAAGCTACGTTAACACTAACAAGCAGCTTCTGTGTCTATAAATCACTTAGTACCAACACATCCTGTATTCACAGGTTCTGTAGCTTTTCTTTTGAAATAGATCTAAATGAAAGGTCTGCACTGAGGTCATACGATGAGTGAGATCCGTCTCTCCTGGTTTCCTGCTAATAAAATACATAATAATAATAATACATCTTTATTGTGACAGTAGTTTGCTTTATAATGAGTTTCGATGTACACAGTCGGAGAATGTGGAACCTGTACTTTTTTATTTCGATGCAGTCTGGAGTTTGCCAGTTTCTGTAACAAGGACCTGCAGGACCTGGTTTGGTTTTTATGAAGCTCCACCGGGAAATAAACTCATCTCTCCCTCTTCGTGCCTCTATTCTTTCTGTTTTCTGTCCGCCTAGTGACTCAAAGCACCGAACACACAGACGTCTTCACTCGAATATAAGGATTTGGTTCAAGCACGGCTGAGTTGGTTTTAGTTTTTTAAACACACATCGTCTTCAGGGTCACAATTACATCTGCTGTCACATTGCAGAGCGGGCAGATTGAATTACTGAGCCGTGTTTGTGAAGGCTGGAGCTGGAGCGTGTCCTTCAAATGCACATCCACTGCAGGCCGCAAGGTTTCTTCACTGTTTGTCACGCTAAGCCACATGCATGCACCTACGGATACTTTCATAGTAGACACACATATTTAATTGCACAACAAAAATGTGCAACAAGTGAAGTGATTTACTTGAACTCGCTGCACCCAAACATTCTTCAGCAGCTCAGCGGCCATGAAGCGTGGAGCATGTGATGTGGTTTCATATACGGCTCTCCTCCCCCACCGGCTGGTACATGACTTCTTTAGGTGTGTGTGTGTGTGGGGGGGGGGGGGGGGGGGGGGGGCAGACGATCACATGAACATGAAAGCAGGCTCTGTGTTGAAGACACCACGAGGGGTTTCTGATCTTGTGACCATCAGAGGGTCACTTGTAAAATGGCACATTAAGTATGCCGATTTGTGTGTGTGTGTGTGTGTGTGTGCGTGTGCGTGTGTGCGCGTCTGCTTTTGTGAAACTGCGTTCGAGCTATTCGTGAATTGTCGTAAAACACTCTGAATGTACGAGCTTCCTCCAGAACATCCCTCTCTCTTCCTCCTGTACTTGTTTATTAGCGTCATTATTATCTTTAATGTTGTATAATAATGTGCTTAGAGCTCGTGTTAGAAGATAAACAGCTCATAATTCATCTCTAATATATATTTCATATTCATGAACATCTCCTTCAAACTACTGGATTCATTCAAGTTTATCACCAAAACTACATTTTACAGAAGACATGTGAACACATCATGATAACGTTATAATGTACCTTCAGCCAGTACTCATGTTCACTGAGCAGAGCCTGAAGGCATCATCATGTAACTGAAGTGATCCTCTGTTGGTTAGCCGTTAGCAGTGCTGCTAACATTACTAGCTCTCCTCCTGT